ACCCCCAAAACCTCAACCCGGGAAGACTGCCTGCATTTCATCAATCCTGTATTCTGCCTCTCCCCAAACCAGGCTTCCCCTCCTCCCCTTTCCTTTTCCTCTCCTCTCCTGAACTGTCTGTTTCTCCATGGCCTTCTCATCTCGTTTCTCATTTTGGGAGAAAAAGGGAAGTACTGTTTTATGTTTTATTGTTCATGAATTTATTGTCTGCTCAGGACAGGTGAAATAGAACCAGATTTTTCTTCATAGTAAGATATATGATTGTTTGCCCTGTATGTTACAGAGTATGACATGGGTGGAAAAAAAATATTTCAATGCTTTTGTGTTCGCTTGCAAAACATTTGCGTTCTCTCACAAAGTGTTGCGTTCCCCCAAGAAACTTTGCATTCGCACACAAATCATTTGCATTCTCTCAGTATTGCATTTCTCCAGAAGAAACTCCCTTGTCCACATTTAGTAGCTTTTGAATTAGTGTCAGATGCATGTATATGAGAGCTTAGCTGGTCTTTAGTAACTGAGAAAGACAGAGGTTAATCTTCAGTCTGACAGAGGGATAATGAACTGTCTGATGTCCGCCTCTATGAGAATCGCTAGTGCATAAACTGTATATCGAGAGAACAGAGAGAGAGCAGGGACAGATGTCACAACCAGCACAATGTCTCAGGTTAGAGGGTCTGATCTCTGGTTTAACTTTCCTGTCTCTGTCTGCCTTTCTTCAGGTGAAAGATGAAAATGTCCCAGGTGCAAAAAGCTCGAATGTAAGTGTTTGAGCAGTGTCGTCATTACTGACTCGGATTTCAGATGGGTGTCTGTTCTGAGATCAGAAGAGATTACATCTCACAGAACTCTGCATTTGTTATTGTGGCTGTGGTTCACTCTAAAACACATCCGGTGTGTTTACTTCACGTATATCATCAGGAGGTGCTAAAGATGGGGTTTGTACAGAAAATGGTGGTCTTTTTCTTTTAGGACAGCTGTTTGCTTCCAACCTTGTACTTTGTCTGTAATTACTGTATGAAAGCAGTTCATCTGTTTCTTCTCTTCATCCAGTTGAAATTGAGTAGAATGGCATTAAATGAAAGATAACATTTTAATGGACACAGGGTGAGTAGAAGTAACTTTCTTAACTTAGGGTCCTAAATGCTCAAATGTGAATATTAGCAGGGGTAAAGATCTTTTTTGGAGAAGAAGGTGAGAGTGATTGTATGTGGATGTTTGTTTAGAACTGTACTGCTGCTGTACTCCAGTGGGTGGGGCCTGATGGCATCACACCCTGCCCTTTTTGTCCTCCAATCACTACTGTAGTGGGAGGGGCAGCTGGAGGAAGAAAGAGAGGGAAGGAGCATGAGAAGGATGCTGAGCTAAGAATGTGTGCGCCTGAAGCAAATATGTGAGAGGTTTGCAAGTCATCATGGAGGCACCAGGCTGGAGGCCTGTCCAGCGCTCTCAAAGTAGTGCTGTCACTTTCAGTGTCCCACAGAATGCCGTGCACAACTGGAAGAGCACCAGTATCATCACCTTCAGGATAGACATGAAGGTCTGTCTCCACATAAGAGCTCATTCCTAGTATCTTATCACTAAATGTGCACTTTAATTTGTTATTTTATATTGTGAGGTGATTGTGAGGTCTTTTCAATACTCCAGGTTCTGAATTGTGTATAGTGTGAGAGAGAGACTACAAAAGCCGTGTGGTTGATCCTGCAGAGTTGTATTTCAGGGATGTGAGCCAGTGTTGCACTGCAGTGACCTTAATTACTGGGTTTGTCTGTTAACCTGCCTGACTGTGCTGAGAAAAGAACTGCAAAGTGTCTGGCCATGTGCAATTAAAAAGTCTTTCTCAGATGAACTTTCAGTATTTGCTGCTGGGCTGGAGAATGTGAAGACCCTCTGATATCCAGAACGGCACCCATCTGTCATAATTTGGGAAATTCAGGAAACTCTGAAAGGTTTTTGCTTGTGGAATTATATCGTAGCTATTGTGAACCTAGAAATAGTACTATTGTAGGTTACAAGGGATGTGAACTTTTACCTTTAGTTCTTGCTGCTAGTGTGTAATTTAATTGTATTTTTTTTCTTTTGTGGTGACCTGTACATGTGTGTTCTGTGAACAGTCGGACAGTGAGAGCAGTATGAGTCAGTCTCAGACAGCAGTAAGTGGCTCAACTGAGCGACGCCGAGGTGAATCATCAACAGCGGTGAATCCAGAGCGGCCACTGACTGTAGACCAGAGAAGCAGCGACTCTATGAACGGACGACATGGCAGCGTTGAGTCTGACACATTGGCGAGGAGAGGACTAAACCTGGCGCACAAAGCAGGGTCAGAGGAAAAGCCGTCAGCAGCCACTTCGGTCCCCAAAACAAGTCGCCCCTTGCAAGCTCGCAGCTCTGTGGATGGAGATGCCCTCTCTGTTGGGTTGACCAGCCTAATGGGCCGTGCAAGGACTAAAGAGCATCGCTCTCGATTGAAAGCTGCCGAACGCAAAGAACCTCAAGAGGAATGCAAAGAAAAGATTGGTGAAAGTGAAACTGCCTCAGAAGAAGCCCAACCATCCACCCCTGCAATCAGTCCACTACCTAGACCTGACCCTCTTGCCCCTCCTGTTGGTTTTTTACCTTCTAAACCGAATCCTCTTACCCCTCCCACTGGATTCATTGCAGTCGCCAAGCCTGATCCGTTGGCTCCACCTGCTGGTTTCATTCCAACTCCTAAACCAAATTCTTCTGCTCAACCTACACCCAAACCTGATCCTCTGGCACCACCGGTGGGATTCAACTCAGCTCCTAAACCAAACATTTCGACTCAACCTACACCCAAGACTGATCCTCTGGCACCACCGGCGGGATTCATGCTGGCTCCTAAACCAAACCCTTCCACTCAGCTTATGCCCAAACCTGATCCTCTGGCACCGCCGGTGGCATTTGTTCCCACCCCAAAGCGAGACCCTTTTGCCCCGGTGGCAGGATTTATCCCCAAGCCCAAAGTTGACCCATTAGCACCCCCTGCAGGCTTTATTCCTGTACCACGGATTGCTGCTGTGCAAAAGCCAGAGGTACACACTGCATGTGTTTCTGAATGCTTTAGTAATGCATGTTTGCTCAGCAGGCCAATGTTGTGAAACTCTGCAAGGCTCACTGCAGAACTAATATCTTGCCATATCTCATGTCAATTGCTTTTTCTCACCCTTGCATAAAGACTTTGACTTTAACCTTCTGAAGTGGATTGAAGCAGTAACTTTGAAACCAGCTGACGTCTACAAGAGTTCAGCATGTCAACTAATGATGCTGGAAGTGACTTTTTTTTATTCTTGATATCATTTTCTAAAGCACACCATCTCTGTCAACCCCTCAAATGGCTTTAACTGCAAGTTGAGGTAAAATTTTTGTTGGCTGCAGCCGTGACCACATATCAGACTAATATTGCATCAGTGCTGACCATGTCAGTTGCAGACTTCTTGTAGAGTTGTAATGTGGTGGCTCCTATCTCGCTACTTTTTGGCATTGCATACACACATACTGACAAGTGCTGTGTCTGTGAAGGTGAAGGGGGTGTCAAAACCTTCTGCAGCTCCTGCTGGAAAACCTCCATCCCAGATTTCAACTATCGCCAACCAACAGGTGTGTCCCGCAACTGCCAAGATGTTTGTGTAAGACAGTGGTATTCAGCTGTGAGAGATATGTGTTGCCTGAAAGTAGATATGCGGTCAGTTAAATGTATTCTGCATCATCAGTGTTCATGTCTCACTGCCTATTTTTAGCTGTTAACAATTGTTAGTGGTTATACTATTGTGTCAGGCTTGGTCTTGCATTGGTTGTAATGTTAGCATCAGGTGGTTAGATAATAATCACACTGCTGATCCTGGTCAGGGATGTGCCGTTCTGTGTTGTTGCTTTGGAAATTAATCAAAGTTTTCCCTTAACCTCTGCCGTTTCAGTTTTTTATTCTCCTGTTGATTTCTATTAAAGGGGTCATATGATGTTGCTAAAAAGAACATTATTTTGTGTATTTGGTGTAATGAAATGTGTTTATGCAGTTTAAGGTTCAAAAAACACATTTTCCACATACTGTACATTATTGTTTCTCCTCTATGCCCCGCCTTTCTGAAACGCATCGATTTGAAGGGGAGGCCGGCGGGCTTGCGGCAACCACATGTGACGACCCCGGGCTCGTCTCGCTTCGTCCACGGTGAAAGCCGATCTAAATTGAAATCGCATCATATGACCCTTTTAATTTCACATTAATATGGGGTTTGACTAAGGTGCATTTTTACCTGCCTCTTTCCCTGTTATTATTTATCCTGTGAGGATTTGTGTATTTATGACTTTATCCTGTGAGTATTTGTGTATTTATGACTTTTTGACTTCTGCTCTCTTGCTTCTCCCGGCCCTTTGCAGGCCAAGGCAGCTGAAGATCCTGTGGCTATCTTGCAGGCTGCACATGAAGCTGCCAGTCTGTCTAAGGTCTGGCTGCTGCATTGCCTGTGTAATTCTGCTTATGTGTAAAGCTTAGTTGAGTTTCGTTGTGCCATTGAAGGAATCTTATCACCTCAGAGCTCCTGTTTGTACCAAAGCACATTTCCCAATCAAATTCTACTTTGGTGTATATGTGCATGTTTATTTGCAGTTTTCTGTGCGTTATAGTTTTCTTTGTGATGTGTGAAGAGAATATTAATTCATTTTCCATAGCTAGATAGACTTCAACCTAATGATGTGCATTGCTCTGCTGATTTTTTTTGTGATGAATGTGTATGTCATTCTGTGTTGAACATGACTCTAGCTGTTTTGTTGTGTATAAATGCTTCATATTTTATATGTTGTCTAATTTATATCTATATTAGCAGCGACCACTTCTAAAGTCACACCTATCAGTCTCTGTCACATTTAATCTTAAACGGACTGAAAATCTGAACTGAATCGCATTCAGTCCATGGACTGGAAACCCATAGTGTTTCACATTCTGTGACTGGAGTGTGTATGACAATCTCTCTCACTCCCTGCTGCAGGTGAAGACGGAGGAGCAGCTTGCTGCAGAGAAGGCCTGGTACAACACTGAGAAAGTCTGGCTTGTCCATAAAGATGGCTTCTCGTTGGGTTAGTGAAGTCATAGTTCATTACTCCTATTATGATCTGACTATTCATGTCCAGTTTAAGTAAATAAATGTTGGTTTTGTTTGTGTAGCTACACAGCTCAAGATGGAGATGGGTTCTCTCCCAGAGGGGAAAGTAAAGGTCAGACTGGAGCATGATGGGACCGTACTGGAAGTGGACGAGGATGATGTGGAGAAGGTGGGCGGAGTCACTAACCACATGGACATAAACATGTGACATTACTCATGCAAAAGCCAAGAAACCTGTTTAATTACTCTCATCTGTCTGTCTGTCAGGCAAATCCTCTATCATATGATCGAGTGGAGGATCTCTCCTCTCTTCTGTACCTCAACGAGTCTAGCATCCTTCACACCCTGCGCCAGCGCTATGGTGGAAACCTCATTCACACCTACGCTGGGCCAAACCTGCTGGTGATCAATCCTCTCAGCACCCCTGCCTTGTACTCAGAGAAGGTACGAACTTCACACAAAGTCTTAAAATTACCTCAAAGTTATGGCAGAGAGAGATGGAGTGACATGGTCTGTTTATATCAGGTGATGCAGATGTTTAAGGGCTGCCGGAGAGAGGAAACAGCCCCTCACATTTTCGCTATTGCTCAGTCGGCGTATCATCAGCTGCTGACCACACGTCAGGATCAGACCATCATGCTGCTGGGCAAGAGTGGCAGTGGAAAGACCACTAACTGTCAGCACCTGCTGCAGTACCTGGTCACCATCGCAGCCGGCAGTGGAAAGGTGTATTCAGGTGAGGAAGACAAGGAGGACCCAATATAGCACTCTCCTTTTCAGCTTTCCCAGAGTTCATTTTCACTTTTGATTTCACTTTTGATTAAACAAAGAACATTTTCACTTTTGATTAAACCAAACAGTGGCTATAAGTCACTATTTTTCTATTTGAATTTTTTGTTTCTTTAACCTTTAAGCCATAAAATCATAATCAAATCATAATTTTAATAAAATAAATAAACATAAAAATATCAATCTATCTATCTATCTATCTATCTATCTATCAAATAAATGTTCACACTTTATGTTAGTCAAGTGATATGATTACTCAAGTTATTCTAATGAACTAATGTTATTTTATTTAATTATTAATTACATATATTTCTACACTACATTCAAGTGTTATATATTATATTGAATTTAAATTTATATTATATTACACTGGACTCGGCTAATAAAAATATAATGTGTGTTTGAGTTTCAGTGTTGTTTTTGGATTATTTACATACAATGCAGTATTTATTTATTTTTAATTAGCCTTTATTTTGATCAATTTCAGTTTTTTATGTTAAAGTTTTAAATTTTAATGTTAATGTTTTAGAAATTTTGTCATTTTGTTTAGTTTGTATATTTTTTTATTTCAGTTTTAGTCATTTTAATACTTAAACTTAATTCAGTTAGTTGCCAAGGATTTTAGTTTTTTTTTTTAAGTTTCACATTCATTTAATATTCATATTTTGTTTTATTAAATTTTTTGAAAACAGTTTTTTAATTTAAGTTTTAAGTTTAATTTTAAATTAAATTTTAATTTAATTAATGTTTTTTATATGTTTTTTTGTATATAAATTCTATGATTTTATTAGACCATTAAGAACTGTCCCCTCCCCACAGCTGAGAAATGGCAGGCGGTCTACACGGTTCTGGAGGCTTTCGGGAACTGCAGTACAGCTATGAATGTGAACGCCAGTCGCTTCTCACACATAGTCTCTCTTGACTTCGACCAGGCAGGACAGGTGGCCTCTGCCTCTGTTCAGGTACGGTACAGCAAGGGCAATTACTCATAATTTTTAAAGACATTGGGAGATTTATCTCTAATTTGCTTTATGTCTTGCAAACAGACCATGTTGCTGGAGAAGTTCAGAGTGACCAGACGACCAGAAGCAGAATCAAGCTTCAATGTGTTTTACTATCTGATGGCTGGAGCAGATGCAGCTCTAAAGTAAACAAGAGACTATTACACTGTAAAAAAAAATTCTATCTACTTCAATTTAAAAACTTAAGTTCAGTTGCTGCCTTAGGTGCCTAAGTATAATCAAAGATTATATTAAACTGAATTTAAAAAATTAGTTCAATCTTGTAAGATTGTTGACCTGACTTACTGGTCGTCCTTTTTACAGTGTATTAACCTAAAAAGCATGTATACTAAATGCATATGTCTTGCATAAATCTATCCAGCCACCTTTGACGTGCCATTTTGTAATATTCTGGCATACTAAATAGCAAATTTGGCATGCAAATTGCCATAGCAGGTAATTATTCTGATCATAGCAGGAAACATGTACAGATTAACGTTGATCAGCTAATGGAATATTATGCCTTTCAGGACTGAGCTTCATTTTAATCACTTTGCTGAGAACAGCACGTTTGGGCTCCTCCCTCACTCGAAGGTAAGAAAAACCACATGTGGCATCATTAGACACACTTGATCTATTTTATCTGTATACATTGTATCATACGTCAAATGTTCTGTAGCCTGAGGACAAGCAGAAAGCCGCTCAGCAGTTTACTAAGCTACAGGCTGCCATGAAGGTCCTGGGCATCTCTGCTGAAGAACAGAAAACCGTGTGGCTGATCTTAGGGGCCATATACCACCTTGGGGCCGCTGGGGCCACCAAAGGTAAAGCTACCAGCTACTCCAGTGTCTAAACCACCACTAATATCTGAATGTGTGACGCAGTAAAATACAGCATGTCTGACTGCACAGAGTGCATTTTAAAATCTGTCCACTGAGAGTCAGTAGTAACTGAGAAAATGTTTCACTGTTTAGAATTTAGTGTGTGTGTTTGATGTCTAAAAGCATTTGTCAGTAATTTTCAGTATTTAAAGGGATCATCTGCCCAAAAATTTAAATTCAGTCATCATTTACTAACCCTCATGTCATTCCAAACCTGTATGCATTTATTTTTTCAGTGAAAACCAACATTTTGAACAATGCCGATAACCGAACAGTTTCTGTTCCCATTGATTCTATTGTATTTTTTTGTCCATACAATGGAAGTCAAAGGAAACCAAAAGTGTTTGGATACCAACTTTCTTAGAAACATCTTATTTTACGTTCCACTAAAGAAAGCAAGCCATATAGGTTTAGAACAACATGAGTGCAAGTAAAAGATGACAGAATTTTTATTATGGGGTGGACTATCCCACTAATCATGTTTTTTTTTATGTGTGTGTATAAAAGTTGTGTTTGTGTTTTAACCATTGCAATCATATGTTTTTATTGCATATTGATGTTGCATGCTGCCCCCATCATAACACACAAACAGATGCAGGTAAATGCAGGTCTCTCTCTTTCTCTTTCAGTTTTTAGACTGAAGGCAGGTGGTTTTATTATTTTTTATTTTATTTAGCATCTTAACAGAACTGTGTGTTCATCTTTCATCTGCCTTTGTGCTTGTTTCCACTCTGATGTCGAATGCCAGAATGAAAATGTTTGTTCTCTTTGATCATCAATCCTGGAGATGAAAGTTTCTCCTTGTCTCTGGACACTTGACTACCTATTGTAGTTCACCATAATGTGACATGTTTTGTGGTAACACTGCTTTTCTTTCGTGAATGTGGCTTTCTGACCCCTCAGCGGGCCGAAAGCAGTTTGCCAGGCATGAGTGGGCACAAAAAGCAGTATATCTCCTGGGCTGCACGCTGGAAGAGCTGTCGTCCGCCATCTTTAAAACGCAGGGCAAGGGCACCCTTCCCCGCTCCTCAAGTGTCCGGCAGAGTACGGATGACACGGATAGCTCAGGTGTTGTTGTTTTTTTGTTAACATTCTTAAATATGTGATCAATGCTTCCCTATTTTATGACTTAAAAAGTGTTTTTGTGTGCGTTTCAGTGTCTAAAGCAACAGCAGCTGAGTGTTTGGAGTTCATGGCGTCTGGTTTATACGTCGAGCTTTTCACACTCATCATCTCTCTCATTAACAGGTAATCCATAACCAGTAACCAGTGATTACCTAGAGCAACAAGATTTATCGAATAAGAGATGAATTCAGATGTCTTTTTGTACTTTCAGAGCGCTGAAGTCCAGTCAGCATTCTCTCTGTTCTCTGCTGATTGTGGACACACCAGGGTTCCAGAACCCTCGTCAGGTGAAGAACCAGCGCGGGGCCACGTTTGAGGAGCTCTGTCACAATTACGCTCAGGATCGTCTGCAGATGCTGTTCCAGGAGCGAACATTCATACGGGAACTGGAGCGTTACAAAGAGGTGCGCAAAACATCCATAACCAACAACCAAAAGTCTACAGCTTTTTGTGAAACACAACTCTTATTACAACACTAAATTACATGGCTGTTAATTTACCACTGCTTGATTTCATTTTTACTTTTTTATTTATTGTATTTATCTGCAATTTGCCTTTACTGGATGGGACTGTGGAGCAGTGCACTACTGCTCTGAAATTTTACTACAACTAATTATAAAAAATGATGCAAAAAAATGTATTGCAGGGGTCTTGAACGGCTCTTTCAAAACTTGAACTACTTTTAACTTCACATAGAATCTTGAAAACACAAAGCTCATGGCACAAGATGGTGCCAAGGATGTCTATGTGACACTATACTTAGACAATTCATTTGTTAATCAATAATTATATTATGAAAGTAAGATTATGGTAAGATGTTTGTTCTCACCATGGCTATATTTATTTGATTGAAAATACAGTAACATTTTGAAATATTATTACAATTTATAATAACTGTTTTCTATTTGAATATATTTTAAAATGTAATTTATTCCTGTGATGGCAAAGCTGAATTTTCAGCATCATTACTCCACTCATCAGTCTCACATGATCCTTCAGAAATCATTCTAATATTCTGATTTGCTGCTCAAGAAACATTACGTATTATTATCCATGTTAAAAACTTTTTTCAAAAATATTTGAGGGATTTTTGATTAATAGAAAGTTCAAAAGAACAGCATTTATTTGAAATAGAGATATTATAAATGCTTTCTACTTTCACATTTGATCAATTTGCATCCTTGTTAAAATATTTTCTTTAAAAAAAAAAAGTACTTTTTTTTTGTTTTTTTTAACTGTCACTGTGTTCCCACAGGAAAACATTGAGATCACTCTGGATGACCTGGAGCCCAGCCCTTCTCGCTCAGTAGCTGTGGTTGATCAGTCCTCCAGTCAGACCCTGGTGAGACGCACTTTCTAAATGAGTCAAAACTGCTGATGTTTAAAGTTTGCGTGTCTGTGTGATTATTTAAATAAGAATGCTGGATAAGTACTTAATTTTATTTCCATCTCTGCGTTTGTGTTTAATACAAAAGATTTAACTTTTGAAGACTGAAGAAGGAAATGACAGACTGTCAAAGTAGGGCAAATTTAATCCTATATTAAGTATATATAGTCCTATATCCTATATATAGTAATTAGTTGGCATGGTTATATATACTGCAGTCTTTTTAAACCGTGTTTATAAGTATTAGAATAGCAGAGAGAGAGAGAGAGACCTGAAGGAAATGTCTGTGTAGAAAAGAAACCTATAATTATTTAACTGTGGAAATTCCTGTCTGTGTTTCAGGTACGTACTCTGTCCCGGACAGATGAGGCCAGAGGTTTGTTCTGGCTGATGGAGGAGGAGGTTTTGCAGCCGGGAGGGTCCGAGGAAACACTCCTGCAGCGACTTTTCAGTTACTATGGCCCTGCAGAGGGAGAGAGCACAGGTCACACACACAAACATGCAAAAACACAAACTCACACACTTACATTCTGCCCTAGACCGATTTATGCTTTGTTTTTCTGCAGGTCACACAGTGGTGCTTAAAAGTGAAAACACACATCACTTCCTACTCGGTCACAGTCACGGGACAGATTGGGTGGAATATGACACTCGTGGATGGCTGAACCTAGCCAGGCTAAATCCCACCCCCCAGAATGCAGCCAATCTGCTGCAGAACTCCCAGAAGTAAGACCTACCCACAACCCTTTGCACTCACGTCAGTAAATCAGTCAAAAAACACAGTTTTTTTAATTCAAGATGAATGACAAGAACTGACAGTCAAGACATCAGATCAGGGATGTGCCACCTTAAACTGATTTCATTTAAAAAATGATATTTTACATCTGAAACTAAAACTGCCAGTAGGTGGCTGCAATTCACCTCCTTAATGAGTTGAGTGATTGAGTCATTCAAATGATTCTTTCAAACACCAGATTCATTCAGTCATTGAATCATTCATTAAACTGTTTTGTTCAAAATGCAGATTTATTCTGTAATTAAGCACTGCTATGTGTTGCTCAGATACACATTTTTCTTGACAAAATAAAGCAAAAACAAAATATTGACAATACTGTGTCTAAAATCCAACTCAAAAAGTTAACTCATTTTTTTGTTGATATGATATTCATAATTGTGCTATTATTCAGGAAAACAGTAGTTTTTTGCGAGTAACATACACAATGTCAGCTCGTACATAGTTAAAACAATAAACACGTTATTATTGTAGACTATACATATCGCACACCCCTCAAGACTCAAATTTTCACTGTATGTTCCTGACAGGAAGAGCATCAGTGGGATGTTTGTGGGCCGCTCCAGCAGTGCTGCGGTTCTGACAGGCTCCATCGCTGGACTGGAGGGCGTCTCTCAGCTCGCTATGCGTCGGGCCACCAGCATGAGGAAGACCTTCACCACAGGCATGGCAGCTGTCAAAAAGAAGTCTCTCTGTCTTCAGATTAAACTACAAGTGGTAGGTTTTCAAAAGGGTCCTACACCGAATACTAGTTGTTGAAAATTGTTCTCTCATGGAATTGTTCAATTTCCAAGAAAATCAAGAAATGGCAAAAAATACACATGGTGTATTTCTCTTTTGATCAGGATGCACTGTTGGACACCGTCCGCAGATCCAGGGTTCACTTTGTCCACTGTCTGTTACCCCGAGCGGAGGTTCTGAGGGCCGTAGGGTCCCCAGAGGAGAGTTGTGACCCTGGACTCATGCAGATGGATGTGGCTTTGCTCAGGGCCCAGATCCATGGCTTCAAACTGTTGGACAGCTTGAGGATTTACAGACAAGGTGAGAAGAGAGATCCAATCAAATAGATAAAATCAAGTCCTCTCCGTTATTTCCTGCTGAATATCCGCATGCATTTTGCAGGTTACCCTGATCACATGGTCTTCTCTGAGTTCAGAAGACGCTTTGACGTTTTGGCCCCTCACCTGACCAAGAAACTGGGCCGAAACTACATTGTGAAGGATGAGAAACGAGTGAGTAGCTAATTAAGAGAATAATGAGCATGAAAATAATAGAACAAAGGCTTTAGAAATGACCGAAATGAAGTTTTGGGCTCCTCTCGCTCTTGTGTGCTGTGAGTCCAAGACAGAATGAACTCTGGGTAATCAGGGTTATTGTGATGGCTTAATCAAGAAACTCCAGCTGGGTCTCTGACTTGAATCAATACGCAGAGCAGACAGGAAAAATGTAGTAATTGCTCTGGGCTTTAGTGCTTACTAAATGCCCAAATGTACTATAATTATCAGCTAATATCTCCTGGGCTGCACGCTGGAAGAGCTGTCGTCCGCCATCTTTAAAACGCAGGGCAAGGGCACCCTTCCCCGCTCCTCAAGTGTCCGGCAGAGTACGGATGACACGGATAGCTCAGGTGTTGTTGTTTTTTTGTTAACATTCTTAAATATGTGATCAATGCTTCCCTATTTTATGACTTAAAAAGTGTTTTTGTGTGCGTTTCAGTGTCTAAAGCAACAGCAGCTGAGTGTTTGGAGTTCATGGCGTCTGGTTTATACGTCGAGCTTTTCACACTCATCATCTCTCTCATTAACAGGTAATCCATAACCAGTAACCAGTGATTACCTAGAGCAACAAGATTTATCGAATAAGAGATGAATTCAGATGTCTTTTTGTACTTTCAGAGCGCTGAAGTCCAGTCAGCATTCTCTCTGTTCTCTGCTGATTGTGGACACACCAGGGTTCCAGAACCCTCGTCAGGTGAAGAACCAGCGCGGGGCCACGTTTGAGGAGCTCTGTCACAATTACGCTCAGGATCGTCTGCAGATGCTGTTCCAGGAGCGAACATTCATACGGGAACTGGAGCGTTACAAAGAGGTGCGCAAAACATCCATAACCAACAACCAAAAGTCTACAGCTTTTTGTGAAACACAACTCTTATTACAACACTAAATTACATGGCTGTTAATTTACCACTGCTTGATTTCATTTTTACTTTTTTATTTATTGTATTTATCTGCAATTTGCCTTTACTGGATGGGACTGTGGAGCAGTGCACTACTGCTCTGAAATTTTACTACAACTAATTATAAAAAATGATGCAAAAAAATGTATTGCAGGGGTCTTGAACGGCTCTTTCAAAACTTGAACTACTTTTAACTTCACATAGAATCTTGAAAACACAAAGCTCATGGCACAAGATGGTGCCAAGGATGTCTATGTGACACTATACTTAGACAATTCATTTGTTAATCAATAATTATATTATGAAAGTAAGATTATGGTAAGATGTTTGTTCTCACCATGGCTATATTTATTTGATTGAAAATACAGTAACATTTTGAAATATTATTACAATTTATAATAACTGTTTTCTATTTGAATATATTTTAAAATGTAATTTATTCCTGTGATGGCAAAGCTGAATTTTCAGCATCATTACTCCACTCATCAGTCTCACATGATCCTTCAGAAATCATTCTAATATTCTGATTTGCTGCTCAAGAAACATTACGTATTATTATCCATGTTAAAAACTTTTTTCAAAAATATTTGAGGGATTTTTGATTAATAGAAAGTTCAAAAGAACAGCATTTATTTGAAATAGAGATATTATAAATGCTTTCTACTTTCACATTTGATCAATTTGCATCCTTGTTAAAATATTTTCTTTAAAAAAAAAAAGTACTTTTTTTTTGTTTTTTTTAACTGTCACTGTGTTCCCACAGGAAAACATTGAGATCACTCTGGATGACCTGGAGCCCAGCCCTTCTCGCTCAGTAGCTGTGGTTGATCAGTCCTCCAGTCAGACCCTGGTGAGACGCACTTTCTAAATGAGTCAAAACTGCTGATGTTTAAAGTTTGCGTGTCTGTGTGATTATTTAAATAAGAATGCTGGATAAGTACTTAATTTTATTTCCATCTCTGCGTTTGTGTTTAATACAAAAGATTTAACTTTTGAAGACTGAAGAAGGAAATGACAGACTGTCAAAGTAGGGCAAATTTAATCCTATATTAAGTATATATAGTCCTATATCCTATATATAGTAATTAGTTGGCATGGTTATATATACTGCAGTCTTTTTAAACCGTGTTTATAAGTATTAGAATAGCAGAGAGAGAGAGAGAGACCTGAAGGAAATGTCTGTGTAGAAAAGAAACCTATAATTATTTAACTGTGGAAATTCCTGTCTGTGTTTCAGGTACGTACTCTGTCCCGGACAGATGAGGCCAGAGGTTTGTTCTGGCTGATGGAGGAGGAGGTTTTGCAGCCGGGAGGGTCCGAGGAAACACTCCTGCAGCGACTTTTCAGTTACTATGGCCCTGCAGAGGGAGAGAGCACAGGTCACACACACAAACATGCAAAAACACAAACTCACACACTTACATTCTGCCCTAGACCGATTTATGCTTTGTTTTTCTGCAGGTCACACAGTGGTGCTTAAAAGTGAAAACACACATCACTTCCTACTCGGTCACAGTCACGGGACAGATTGGGTGGAATATGACACTCGTGGATGGCTGAACCTAGCCAGGCTAAATCCCACCCCCCAGAATGCAGCCAATCTGCTGCAGAACTCCCAGAAGTAAGACCTACCCACAACCCTTTGCACTCACGTCAGTAAATCAGTCAAAAAACACAGTTTTTTTAATTCAAGATGAATGACAAGAACTGACAGTCAAGACATCAGATCAGGGATGTGCCACCTTAAACTGATTTCATTTAAAAAATGATATTTTACATCTGAAACTAAAACTGCCAGTAGGTGGCTGCAATTCACCTCCTTAATGAGTTGAGTGATTGAGTCATTCAAATGATTCTTTCAAACACCAGATTCATTCAGTCATTGAATCATTCATTAAACTGTTTTGTTCAAAATGCAGATTTATTCTGTAATTAAGCACTGCTATGTGTTGCTCAGATACACATTTTTCTTGACAAAATAAAGCAAAAACAAAATATTGACAATACTGTGTCTAAAATCCAACTCAAAAAGTTAACTCATTTTTTTGTTGATATGATATTCATAATTGTGCTATTATTCAGGAAAACAGTAGTTTTTTGCGAGTAACATACACAATGTCAGCTCGTACATAGTTAAAACAATAAACACGTTATTATTGTAGACTATACATATCGCACACCCCTCAAGACTCAAATTTTCACTGTATGTTCCTGACAGGAAGAGCATCAGTGGGATGTTTGTGGGCCGCTCCAGCAGTGCTGCGGTTCTGACAGGCTCCATCGCTGGACTGGAGGGCGTCTCTCAGCTCGCTATGCGTCGGGCCACCAGCATGAGGAAGACCTTCACCACAGGCATGGCAGCTGTCAAAAAGAAGTCTCTCTGTCTTCAGATTAAACTACAAGTGGTAGGTTTTCAAAAGGGTCCTACACCGAATACTAGTTGTTGAAAATTGTTCTCTCATGGAATTGTTCAATTTCCAAGAAAATCAAGAAATGGCAAAAAATACACATGGTGTATTTCTCTTTTGATCAGGATGCACTGTTGGACACCGTCCGCAGATCCAGGGTTCACTTTGTCCACTGTCTGTTACCCCGAGCGGAGGTTCTGAGGGCCGTAGGGTCCCCAGAGGAGAGTTGTGACCCTGGACTCATGCAGATGGATGTGGCTTTGCTCAGGGCCCAGATCCATGGCTTCAAACTGTTGGACAGCTTGAGGATTTACAGACAAGGTGAGAAGAGAGATCCAATCAAATAGATAAAATCAAGTCCTCTCCGTTATTTCCTGCTGAATATCCGCATGCATTTTGCAGGTTACCCTGATCACATGGTCTTCTCTGAGTTCAGAAGACGCTTTGACGTTTTGGCCCCTCACCTGACCAAGAAACTGGGCCGAAACTACATTGTGAAGGATGAGAAACGAGTGAGTAGCTAATTAAGAGAATAATGAGCATGAAAATAATAGAACAAAGGCTTTAGAAATGACCGAAATGAAGTTTTGGGCTCCTCTCGCTCTTGTGTGCTGTGAGTCCAAGACAGAATGAACTCTGGGTAATCAGGGTTATTGTGATGGCTTAATCAAGAAACTCCAGCTGGGTCTCTGACTTGAATCAATACGCAGAGCAGACAGGAAAAATGTAGTAATTGCTCTGGGCTTTAGTGCTTACTAAATGCCCAAATGTACTATAATTATCAGCTAGAAAAATGTCTCCGTCCAGGGGTCTCCTAATCTCATTTTGGCCCTGTGATTAGCCGAGGAGAAAGGAGAGTTATATACAAAACCTTTGCACTGTGGCCCTGGGCATGTACACGGCAGGCAGGGTCTAGAATTAACACTCGCCAGTGCCAAGTGCAAGTAAAAATTGGCTTTGCCAAGTAAATAAAATTGAGTTATTCATGAGATGATTGGAAGCTTAAATAGGAAATGTGGGGAGATATAACTAGAAGATACTGTATTTCATCAAATTGCGATATATAAAATTGCAATTATGAGAAATGAAGCCATAATAGACATACTGTGATATATAAAGTAATATTTGAAGATATAACATAAAATTGTGAGATATAGTTGCAATTCTGAGAAATGAAGTTGCAATTGAGATATAATTCATATTGTGGAAAACAAAGTCATTTTGAGATACTGAAGTCGCATTTGTGTATAAAGAACTAAAATTGTGAAACATAAAATCCCTGTTATGTACACTATTATGTTTTATTTTTTACTCACAGAAACGAGCACATGTTCTTGACTTGTACAGACCTGTGCTGTAAATATTAAACAGCTAAACAATCATATTGTCCCTAACCCTAACATTAAAAAATAATACAAAATAAAGTTTCATGGGCAGTTTGAAATATTAATTGCTGGCAGTCGAGTATCAGTTGCATGGGGAGCGGAACTCGGACATCTGTAGGTTTCAGCGCCATAGAGAAACATTGGAAGATCCGAAGCTCGCATCGTTTTTATGGGGTTCATGCTTCAAAAATGGAAAAACGATGTGCCTGGGGTACTTGTAACAGTGATTCCAGGTATCCTGAAAGAATAGGCAATGGAATTAATTTTATTCTATTTCCTAAACCCAAACATAACGGAGCAAAATGTCCCAAAGCATTCACCCCCAAACCCAATGAAGACAAAAACGTTCGTTTTCTGGTTGTCATACTCTCATTAAGTTACAATTTTCATCTGCTCAAGCAGAACGTTAATGTTATCTTGTACTTTAGCAAGGTATCTCTGGCTAAAACTAGCAAACGTTAAAGCTAGTGAGTCCATACAAACCTAAATAGCGGACTGTTCTCGCGTCTTGTACAGTGGAGGGCAAAAACACATAAACGAAGGTCATTTCACTGTCTCTTCATATTAAACTGGTTAAATGTAAATTAATTTAGTCGTACCCTGCAATATACATGAACAGTGTTGATCCGGGATGTTGTTATCTGCGATCGTGACGAACGTAACATCAGGTTTCTCCCGCTTGCATTATGATCTGTAAACCCTCGCTTCCAAATTAATACCCACAATATTTATTTTAAAATCTTTTATATATCCCTCCATGGCATATTTAAGTCCCACTTGAATGGTGGTCCTTCTGTGTCCAAAATTTATCAAAAAGATATAGGGACAAGGTTTTCACACTGACAGCTGTCAATTTGTAAGACAGTTAGCAACTCTGTTTGTTTGTCCGAGTTCGCAGGCGGGGCTTACTGATAGGTCAATTGACAGGTGTAGTTAAAAGTCAATTTTAGACTCTGACCATCAGCTTTTCAGAGTAAAAAGGATACAGAAAGATGACCGTCCTCTTTTTGTGACACAGCAGAGAAGGTCAGTCGCGTTTCAAGTCCCAGAGGAAGTCAAAACGACTCAGGGGAGAGGTTTTTGTGAAGCGATTCGAACAATGGCCCTTTAGTTGTTAGGGGCCAGCACCCCCTTTAGTGCTGTAATCTAGATGGGCCCTTTCAGATAGATCGAGTTCTCAAGACCTTTCCGCATGACAAAGACAGTGTCAGTGTCACGGTGAGGGCTGATGGTTGTCTGGACAGTTTGGGGACTGTACGGCAGAGAATAACCGGTGTGTGTGTGTCCAGTAGGCCTACACAGGGGTCAGCAGTGTTTTTGTAATGTACACTGTGTGAACTAGACATGACAGTGTGTTTGTCATTGCAGGCAGTAGAGGAGCTTTTGGAGTCTTTGGAATTAGAGAAGAGCAGCTATCACATGGGCCTGAGCAGGGTGAGTAACACATACACAATTTCCTGTTCATTTTATCACTTCGGAAGCGTCAAAGGATGCAGGTGAGTCAAATTTTGAATTATATGCAGTGGATGATATTTCATCTGCGTGTTTTTCTGTCTGCTACTGCGTGGTCCATCGGCTGGAATCAAGAAACTCTCATCTTGGCGTGAGCTGCTTTGTTTGTTTGTGTCTTTCCTGGTTCTTCATGCTGTCCTAATCAGTGTGAACAGACGCTGGCACTCAACAGTTTAATCCCATCAGCTGGAAAACCACAGCGAGTCAGAAAAAAAAAAAAAAAGGCGGTGTGTCTAAACAAGCCCCGCCTGGCGCATTCCCAGAAGAATGGAGATTTATTAGACCGTATTATAAGTTGGAATAGTTAGTAATTATTTTGTGGCAGCCGAACTGTGCTCAGAAATGGATTACAATGTCAGGGGCCCTTCACGAAGGATTCGAGCAACAAAACATACTGATTTACAACCAACATCTCCTGTCAGTTCTGCACAACTGCGCTGTTACAGTTACTTGCAATGAAAAATAAACCAAACATGAGTTAAATGGACATTGATTCACTTGAGTCGTTCAGACTGCTGTGGTCAGATGTTCTATTTTTGAGTATGAAGCCAGATAAAATTATTGCATGAGTGTAATAACATTTCGTGATTTCAGAGTTTTGTTTATTTTTGCTCTCTTCAAACCCTCAAGTTGTTTATATCTAGTTTAACATCCATCAGGTAAGACAGATTGCCGTTTACACCTGCTGTTTCTCAAATGCATGTCTCATGAGTAAATCTCATCTGATTTCGTGACTATGTGCATCAGATCAGATAGATATGAAAAGATAAAAGCATCTGCTAAATGAATACATGTCAATTAAAATGGAACTTTATAATGAAAATAATAAACAATAAAAACAAAATATAATTTCAATACAATTTCAAATATTATACAAAATACAGTATATTATAAATAATGTTATATAATTAAATATGTATTTCTTTGGTGAATAATAAAGCGAAGAAAACTGATACTGTAGTGTAAAGGAAAGCCAGCTCTTGTTCAGTTTAAATTGCAATTGATACTGCAACATTTTGGTAATTAATTACGAAAAACATCCATGTGCTTATGAAACTTATATTACAGATAAAAGTTGTCTCTGTTTGAAACTATGATTCTCTATGAGTTTATCTGTGTCTCTTTGATTCTACTCTGACATTTTAAGACCATCATAATATGCACTTTTAACATGCTCTCTTTGCTGTTGTCACAGCTTTGTTTGTGTGTGTGTCTGTTAGGTGTTCTTCAGGGCTGGAACAGTGGCTAAACTAGAGGGACAGAGGGATGAACACACCAGACAGAACATCACGCTGTTCCAGGCCACCTGCAGGGGCTTTCTGTCTCGACAGGCCTTCAAAAAGAAGAAGGTAAAGTCAATTTTCCATTTTGCTTCAGTCCTGAGCTGAAATTACAATGTCAATCAATCAGAATCTCAACATTTATTTCAATTACACTACTGTTAAAAAGGTTGGGGTCGGTAAGTTTTTTTTTTCCTTTTTTTTTTTTTGAAAGACGTTTCTTATGCTCATCAAGGCTTCATTTGTTTATTTTATTTTTTTCAAAAATACAGTAAAAACAGTAATATTGTGAAATATTATAACAATTGAAAATAACAATTAAAATTTTTTTAAAATATATTTTAAAATGTAATTTATTCCTGTGATGGCAAAGCTGAATTTTCGGTAGCCATTACTCCAGTCTTCAGTATCACATAATCCTTCAAAAATCATTCTGATATGCTGATTTGGTGCTCAAGAAACATTTCTTATTATTAGCAATGTTGAAGACGCTTGTTTTGCTTGATATTTTTGTGGAAACAGTGATACATTTTTGTCAAAATGCTTTGATGAATACAAAATTTTAAAAACAGCATCTTTATTGTCAACCCAATGCGTCTTTGCTGAATTAAAGTATTAATTTCCTTCAAAAAATAAATCTTACTTACCCAGACTTTTCAACAGTAGTGTATATCAGTCTGCTTTAAGAGTAAAATGCACACATCAATGCACAGCATTGAGCAGGTGAGCATTTACGGAGGTGACTAGGTTTTATTTAAAGGTGACTTATTATGCCCCTTTTTACAATATGTAATATAAGTCTCTGGTGACCCCAGAATGTGTCTGTGAAGTTTCAGCTCAAAATACTCCACAGATCATTTATTATATAATTTTGAAAATGCCTATTTTGAGTGTAAGCAGAAACAAGCTGTTTTTCGGGTCTGTGTCTTTAAATGCAAATGAGCTGCTG